AGCTCCCCTGTCCCTTGACCTCCCTGACAGAGGCCCCGATTACGACTGGAAGCACCATGTTGGAAGCCTGAGGCGCATGCGCAGCACGCTTCCAACGTCAGAACAGTGGACGCCACTTGAACGGGCATCCCCCAAAAGTGCGCAATCTCTGGATGAGATGGAGGTCACATGGACAACTTCCTGTTCTGCCCCCCTTCAGCCACGCCCCGACCGACTGGAGTGGTTGAGTGAATCTCACCCATCCCTTCATGCATGCCGAAGCCAGCATGCAGAACTCGCGCCTAAGAGAAGAACATTGGAGAGGACAATGCAGGAGCGACAACAACGAGGGATGCGCACGAACTGCGTCCGGCCGGAGATGAACCAGATGTGGAATGATTATTGCCAGATGGTTTGGAAGGAAGACCCGAAGAAGATGTCTTTCCATCCCTCGCATTCGCTCATTTGATCGTATAAAATGATATGTTCAATACATACCTATATTATCACTTTGAGACCCGGCACTCCATCGAAGCACCGAACTTATATAGACATATTTACATACATTGATTTCGTATACAATATTGTTCGCCGAAAGTTGGCCTCGTGCGAGGTTTGTTTGTGGGGATGGGGTTCGGTTTATCCGACTTAAATAATAATTATTTGATTGATTCATTTTATATTATTATTATTATTATATATAATTTATTTATTTTTTTCGATATTTAAAAAAAAAAAAAAAAAATAATTTAAGAGTCGGATTACTAAACAAAAAACATAAAAATAGGTTATATTATAAGAAAAAAACAAAAAAAAAGAAAAAAAAAACGTAAAATTTCGGAATTTCCGAGCCATATTAAAAAAAAAACTAATATCGAAAAACTAATAAAATAATCACTCGCTACAAATTGAACAATTCGGCCAAAACATTATTATAACGACTCCATAATGCACGAGAAATACGATTCTAAAATTATACCGATTTATAAAATATATTTAGTTTATATAAATATAAATAATTATAACTAATTATATTTAAATATAAATAAATATATATAAATATATTTGTATATATACAAAAATAGAAATTTAATTTATTTATTAACAATTATAAATTTCGATATCTCAAAAAAAAAAATATATATTTTTATTAAGATTTTAAATTAGGGTTTTGTCGAATATTAAAAATAATAAAATAAATATTTTTAAGGGTTAATATTTAAATTTATTTTATTTTTATTTTTGATAATTTTCCGGCAACTTTGGAAATTTGTCCGATTCGAAAGTTTTTTTTTTTTTTTTTTTTTGTTTTTTGTTTTTGTTTTCTTATCTCGTTTATTGTTTTGTCTTTTTGTCTTTCTTTTTGGCTTTTTGTTTTTCTTTTTCTTTGTTTTTTTCGTTTTTTTGTTTGTTTGTTTTTGATTTTCTTTGTTTTTTTTTTTTTTTGGTATTTATGTTTTTTTGTTATTTTGTTTTTTTTGTTTTTTATTATTGTGGTATTTTTGTATTTCGTTTTTTTAATTGTTTTTATGGTTTGTTTATTTTCTTACCTTTTTACCTTTTCAATTCTTGATTTTTTTGTTGATTTTTTGCCTTTTGGTTTTATTGTTTCTGTTTGTTTATTCTTTTTTTTGGATTTTTTGAGGATATTATGAGATGAGGATATTTTGTATTTCTAAAGAATTTGTTGAAATGGTATGATTTTTCCTCTTTTTTTTTGTTCTGTTTTTTTGGTTTTTTATTTTGTTTAATATTATTTTTGTTTTTTAATATTTGTTTTTGCATTTTTATTTTATTGTTTCTGTTTGCTTGTTGTTTTATTCGGATTTTTTCGAGGATATTATGACTTTAATTTATATTTTTTATTATTCTATTTATTTATTATTTTATATATATTTTATTTTGTTTTATTTCTTTTATTTTTTTCTTTCTTTGATTTTTAATTATATTTGATTTATTCTTTTTTACTTTTTTGTTTCTTTTTATTTGATTTATTATGTTTTATTTATTTGGAATTTGTTTATTTTTTATATATTAATTATATTTGTTTTAAATAATAATTATTTATGTGTTTTTATATTTATACCTTTGTTTTATTTATTTTTATATTTCTCTAATTCCTTGTTTCTTTAATTTCTTGTTTTTGTTTGCCTATTAGGATTATGAGGATTATCTTGGGATTCTCCCCAAGGTTATTATATAATGTTTAATTAATTCTATATAAGTTATGGATAATATTCTATCCTATAATAGTTAAAGATTATATTGTTGGGTTTTGATTGATATTGTCGGATGTGTTTTTCTATATAGGCAAAATAATATCTTAAACAAAGCCAATATAGCATTATAATTAGTAGTTTGGATTAGAGGTTTATTTGTCGTGTTATATTCGGACCCATATACAAAATAAAATATTATATATTGTTAGAAATATTACTCAAATTTATTTTGTTAGTATTTATATTTTTTTAATTTATCCTTTTAACATTTGTTATTAATTGCATTAAAACTTCCAAGCAATTAATTTTTATCAATAATTATATTAATTTAGTAATTAATATTCATTCCTATTCTTTTAAATAAAACTATATCTAAAATATAAAAATAAAAATCACCATAAACCAACCAAAAAACAACAAAACACAATAATTTTAATATGTATTTTTCTAAATTACAATAAAGCATTAAAAATATATATATAAATCAATTAAATAATCAAAAAACAATTCAAAAAACAAAACAAAACATAAATACAAAAATAAAACAAAGACAAAAAAAAACAAAAACAAACACAAACACAAAAACAAACACAAACACAAAAACAAACACAAACACAAAAACAAAAACAAACACAAACACACAAACACACAGACACACAGACACACAGACACACAGACACACAGACGCACAAACACACAGACACACAGACACAGACCCAAACACACAGACACAAACAGACAAACACAAACAGACAGACACAAACAGACAGACGCAGACAGAGACACAAACGACACAGACACAAAGACAGACACAATCACAGACAGAGACAGAGACACAAACGACACAGACACAAACACAGACACAATCACAGACAGACACAGACAGACACAGACAGACACAAACAGACACAGACAGACAGACAAAGAAATAGATACCAAAGACAAAGAGACCAACCGACAAACAGAGACAGAGAAAGACACCGACAGAGAGACAGAGACAAAAAGAGACACACCTCCGGCGCGCGGCGCGCCGGATTTTGATGTCGACATGCCACAGGCTTTGCCTGCGCACGTGCACGCGTCCGACTCCGAGCCCGAGAGCCGTGATGCAACGGGCTGCAAGAACGCGCGCGCGAGCTCTCGGCTGCGCGTGCCCTAGTTGCACGCGGCCGCTGGCCGCTTGTCCCCTGGCGCCCTCGCCCAGTGGAGCGAGCCAGTGGGAAATGGTTTGTCACGCGCTTGTCTCGGCGCTGCCCCGCCGCTCTCCTTGCCCTCCACGACGGCTGTATTCTGGCCCGCGGCCAGGAGGTGGTTGCAGGTGTTCGGCGGCCCTCTTTGGACTTGGATTGGTAGTTTGGATCGGTGTTTTGGAGGTTAGGGGGTGGTTTCCCATTCAACTTCAACATGATCCAGGGGTTAAACGACCAATCCAAACCAGCAATTTGGGGTAAGTTGAGGCGGGTGCGAAAAAAAGGGCCGAGCTCTCAGGAGCCAAGGTCTAGGCCGTGGTGGGTGTGCCAAGAACAGCATAAATCTTATAGAGCCCGCGCCGGCAAGACATTTTTTGCAACTCAGGCACCAACATATTTTATCATCTCATCTATATCAAAAAAGGTATACTCGTCGCATGCGAAAAGCATGCTGCCGTTCTCCAAACACAGGTCGCGAGACGCACTGAGGGCCGGGCTGGTCGCGATAAGGTCACGCCAAAAAGTCAGTGAAAGGCGACGTCGCCTGAGCAAGGTGAGAACGCTGTTGAGGCCAACTTGGCCCCAAAAGATCCATCCACGCACGCAGTTGTTGCAAGCGCAAGCGAAAACGCGATCGACCAGAAAATATCCTGGGCGCAAGCAAAACCGAACTGATTTCGCCCAAAACATTAGAAACAACGCCACTGGTCGCAACAATCGGCCGCGGCTCACAGCTTCTCGCATCGCCAAACTCTCGGAAGATGGGTCAAGATCTCAGCCAAAATTGCTACGGACAGGCAGATATATGCCCCGATTCTTTATCTAGAAGATACAACGGCTTGGTTCAAAGCCCGGACCATTTTTCCGAAATATCCCGGATATTTTAATAGTCGCACTCCAAACCATTTTTCCGAAGTATTCTGGATATTTCGTTAATAGTATTTCCCGAAATATTCCCAAATTTTCCTAAAATATTCGTAATATTTCGAGAAAATGGTGAGTGGCTACGATTTTCCCGAAATATCTGGAATATTTCGGGAAATTAGTCCCTACAAAAAATGAAGCCAGTATATCTTCCGGATTATAGCCGGGGAAACCCAGACAGATTTAGGTAAGCGATCCATAGGAAATATGAAGCGGTTATATCGTAGGAAATATAAAGCGGTTATATCTTCCAGGAGCAATTCAAACCAATTTTCCGAAATATCCGGGATTTTTCGAAAAGCGGTCCGGGAAAATGCGCACAAGTGCGACGAGCAAATTTCATGGTTTCGTTTTATAGAGAATATATATATATATTCCAAAATTTTCATTTATCCTTCCATAATTTTCACCAAAATCATATTAAACATACTCATCAAAACAATATTCATCTATATAAATAATCATGCATTTATATATATATATATATATGAACTTATATATATATATATATAAATAATCATGCACTTTTGTATATACATACGAACTTATATATATATATATACACACACATATATATATGATACATATTCTTGTAACGCCCGGCGATACAATGAATCATTCATTATTCATCATACAAGGACAATCGACTGCATTTTCGGGGTTGCCATAAAAGAGACACACACATTTTACCGCCGAGTGCAGGAGCCATGCCATTTGCCACGAAGGCGAGTATGTACAAGTGCGCTCATCAGCACCTGGGATCAGATTTTCACGGTCGAAATTGGGTCGTTTAAGGGACACTCAGATCAGCCAACCAAGTTGACCAACTGGCAGCCATAGGTGACCTTTTGGATAGATGGCCCTGGCAAATGGAATAAACCTCATCTAAACCAGTGCTGGCCCTTTTTGCCTCGGCGCAAATCGGAGACCCCCAGTGTATGTAAGCTAACCAAACGGCACCACACAAGCATGCGATAACTCTTTTATCCAAGCAATGTGTTGGTGCCAGGGACTCATCTTCCCCTGTCAGAAGTCAACGGCTGGGTGGGCCCCATGGGCCACCCACCACAAACTCTCAAAAACTGAAGAATGGGTGTGCAGACTGATAGCGCCCGCCCCTGAGCCGGGGCCCGGGGCACCCGGGCCGCAGGGGGGTCTGCCACCAGGGGAAGTGAGTCACCCACCGGCTCCGGTCACGGGAGCATGGGTGGGCCCACGCTAAGATCAAATGCATCTCCATTCAGGAGACGCGGGAGAAAAACGAACTCCTCGCAGAGTTCCTGTTTGGGGACCCTGTGCAAAGGGTCGAACCCAGAGAAATCCGGGTGCGTCAGCTCATCCGCCCACTGGTTGAATTCCCGGGGCACGTGGTTGGCCGCCAGCGAGCAGCCATGAGTGTGGAGCAGGAAGACCAGATCATCAGGATCGCCGCGGTGTAGGGCTTCTTAGATCCAAGGTTGAGCATCGCCATGACGTTGCCCTGATTGTCACTGCCCACCGGGAGTCGGACCCGGGAGGACAGAGGGCCTTGGTGCGTGAGGATCATGTTACAGAGGAAGAGCGTGCCCAGCATTTCCAAAGCCGCAATCCTCCGCTTGGGATCCCCATTCTTGAATGCCCACGGGTACTCTTCCACGTGGATCTGCTCGTGGAACCAGTACACCTCCTTCTTCTTCTGGCTCCATTCTATTGGAGCACCATCCTCCCACAAATGCCAGTCCTTCATCCGAGGCGCTAGCATCGCTGCAACCCCACCAAGAGGACTTCGGCAAGTAAGGGGAGTACTGGACGAAGGGCGTGTTGAAGAGGAACCGCAGCATGAACGCCAGCATCCTGACCACCCTGGGGGGTTTCCCCACCGTGGTGGTAGCCATCTTCCAGGCCCAAAGTGGCTTGAAGCATCGACTTCGCCAGCGGACAGGCCGCAGTTGCCCACTGGATGCGGCCCAGGGCCTTCTCGATGTCCTTCGAGTGCATCGCCTGCCCTTCCACCATGGTCTGCAAGACCTCCATCACCAGGATGTGTTTGTTGGCGGCCATGAGAACCTGCGGGATGTTCGGGTGGACCACGAAGCCCAGCCACGTGTAGCTAAGCGGGGTGCCCAAGGCCAGGAGCGTTGCCAACAGCGCCACCGCCAAGTTTACCGCCCCCTCGCTGCGAAGCAGCCACAGGAAGTCATCCACAAAGACGAAGTTCCAATCCACTTGAGGGAAAAGTGCGTAGAGGACCTGAGTAGAAGGGCTGCCAGGCGTCCCCAGTAGGATTGGGCACTGGCCATGCCGTAAGTGCCTACCTTGTTCACCCACCATTCTTCCCCCAGTAAGGGCACCTGTAGCCAGCCCTCGGGTGGAGGTTTTACGACCTCCTTCTTGGGGCCAGGGGCACCCTGAGAGGGAGGTCCCTCCGCAGCTGCCGCATGTAGCCAATGGAGAGCTTGTACCCCATCCAGCACCGTCGGAGCCGTTGTCCTTTCCACCGTCTGGTTCCTGATGGTGTCATTGGCCCCGCCCACCGAGCCATCGTAGATGGTGCGGATCTTGTCCCCTTCGTCGATGCCCGCTAGGGGGCCTTAGTTACCCCAGCCCGTGGGATGAGGGAGTTCCTGGAACTCCGGCTCCTCCCCTTTTAGCTCCTTCTTGAGTGGCCAGATGCCCGGCGAGGCTAGGGGTGGGTCCGTGACCCCCAGTGGGACCCCTTGTTCCAGATCCCTAGGGAACTGGTGGTCGGGGTCCTGAATGCTCAGCGCCACGCTGTGCAGGATGTCCAGGAAGAAGGGTTGGCCTTCAGCTGGTCGGCCTGCCCCCGGCGCAAGGATCTCCCTGATATCCTCCAGCAGATCCTCCGGGAAGGGATGCGATCCGTCCCCCAACGATAGCGACTCCTGGAGCTTGTCGCCCCATGGCGAAGTGAGGACACAGATCTTGGCCCCCATCGCTGCTGCCTTGGACAGTGGCCGGGTCAAGCGAGGGCTTCCCACCCCCGTCCCTAAGGGGGCGCTGTTTGAAGGCCATCTGGAGATACATCACCTTGTCGGAGAGATTGGGGTCGTGCGTGATCGGCAGGGTGGTGGGCCGATCCGAGATCTCCATGCAATGGCGTGCCCATGGCTCAGGAGAAAGTTTCCCCCCGAAGCTCGACCGTCCCGTCAGCCGGCTGTGCTGGTGTCCGGACCTCCGGAATGTCTGAGGCCGAGACTGGAAGGGATCCCAAGGTTAGTCCCGCCAACGCTTGCTGGCCGGCCTTCAGCCTCAGGGACTGGCGCTTGTTGTCCCCCGGTGTGCTGGGAGATGGTTCCCTCTGTCGCCTCGGTCGGGGGGGTCGTTGGGTTCGCTTGGGGCACTGTGCCCCCCGGCCTCAGCGCCTCCAGGACGGGACCCGCTCTGCAAAGGATGGCCGCTGCGAGACCCTGCATCATCTGCTCTGGATACCGGCTGAGATCGCTGGAATTGAGCTTTTCCCCCCTGGGGTGAGCTCCGTGGTTGCATCGCAGATCCTGCCAGTGGTGAAGGGGAAGGTCCGTTGACAATGTCGTGGACTTCACTACCACCTGGCCCAGGCGGCACTCGTCAAACTTGATGAGGGAGTGGTGGAGTGCCCCGTGTGACCCAGATCGATGAAGGAGGAGCCCACCTGCGGGACCGTTAGTTGACCGAGTCCCTGGTAGGCCAGCGAGGTCAGGTACATCTGCCGGAGCATGAGCCCTGAGAATGCTCCACGTCCTGCAGTTGGGGCCGCCCCCCACAAAGGCGACCTTGCCCGCCATGGCCATGGAGCACATCGTAGAGTAAGGCTCGTCTCCCAACATGTCCTGTCCAAGATCACCACCCTTTCGCCTGATGTCCACTGCCCAAATGTACTCCGAGAAGGCCTGGCGCTTGCCCCCCCTGTGGTGTCCGAGTGTCCTTTGTCTGACCCTCCGGTCATCTGACCCTGGGCTTGCTGCTTGCCCTGGCGCTTCTGCCCGCCCTTGGAACGCCCCTTGCCGTGCGGATCCTCACCTCTGGGTCTCTCTGGGGGGTCTTCCCACTGCCTCGGTGGGTGCGGGGGAAAGGGATGCTTCCGCCCTTCTGGAGTGCCCTGGCTGGGTCCGCTCCTCTTCTTCCCGGTGGCATCCTGGAGAAATCCCCTCCCACCTGCGGCCGTCCTGGCCTCCCCCGCTCTGTCTGCCTTCCGCTGTGGCTCTGGTGGGGTTGGCTCTCCCCCGCTGTGTGCACTCTCGCACTGGTGGCCTGTGATCCCATCGGAGACCAGGAAACCACGGGGCCTATGGCACCCTGAGTGGCCTCCTGTCACTTGGGAAGGTGTGGGCATGCCTGTGGCACATGCTTCGATGGGGGGGCATCACACACCCACCCATCCTTCCTGACCGGGCAGTTGTGGGATCGGCCGCATGATCCCGAACACTTGTTGTGAAGGTGATGATCTCTGCAGTACGCCACTCCTTTGGGATTCTTGAAAGCCCAGTGGTCCGGCCATGGGGTCGAGGAGGTGTTGGGGGACTTACCTTTGCCGCCCTTCCCCTTCGGCTTGGACTGGGTCGGCCCCGAGGGCCAAGATCCTTTGCCCCCCTTTTGGCTTCTCCCACTGAGTCTGCCACACTTTGGGTGCCTTGCTCTTGCTCTTCCCCTTCTCCTGCGCCCTGTTGAGGTGCTCATAGACCTCCCGTTGCCAGAAGAGGAAGTCGCCCCTGATGTTCTTGAGGGCTTCGGAGAGAGTGGTGCCCTGGTGCACCATCTCGTGAATCTTGCGCCAAGCATTGCGCTCCGCGAACAGCAAGGTGGTGTCGCTCGGGGGAGGTTTCCTACCGGCTATGTCTTCCCCATAGAACCAGGCATACCAGTCATCCAACTCTTCCTTGGTGACCCTCAGGTTGCCAAACTGTGGCAGTGCTGCCGTGCACATCAGGAGCGTCGTCCTGAAGGTCAGGTGCAATCGTTCCAGCTGGCGCCGAGATGTAGGGTGGCTCCTCACCTCTTCTTCATCCTCCCTGTCCCAGCCGTCCACCGTGATCTTCTTGTGGGTGGATGAGGGGCGTTCCCCTTCTTCCGGGAGCGCGCTCACGATGTGTTTTGCCGGGATGTAGCCCAATTCGCCCTTGGCAATCAGGCGCCATTGCTTCTTGAGGTAGCCATCACTACCTTGGAACTCCAGCCTCGGCTTCGGGGTCCCATGCGTGGCCACGTAAGCATCTTCCAGCTGGCGCCTGTCACACAGGACCTCCAAGGTGACCCGAACTGCCTGAAGGAGGCGCATCGCCGCGAAGGCCGAGGTCTGGGCGTTGAACCCATTCTCTCCATCCTGGAATCCCAGGTCCCGGGGACCATTCTCCCTAGCCGCCGCCGGGGTGTTCCAGCGATCCGCCAGGTCTTCCACCGTGACGTAGCCCGATGCGCCCAGAGCCGGGCCACCCACCACAAACTCTCAAAAACTGAAGAATGGGAGTGCAGACTGCGCCATTTCCGAAGGACAGTCACCCGCCATTTCCGAAGGATGCCAGTCTGTGCTGAGGGCCAGGGCCCTGTCCTGCCTCCCCTCCCCCCGGTCGCCAGGGCCGGAGGCACCTAGGCTGCCAATGGTAGGGCCACCACCTCGGTCTCCACAGAGTCATCTGTTTCCAAGCCCGAGTCCGCCGAGGAGTCCGAGTCCTCCTGCAGTGTGGGGACCTCCGCAGGCTCCAGTACCCAGTCCGCCGGGAAGCCGTGCCGCTTGAAGCAGCGTTCGCACTTGCCATAGGCCTCCTGCTCCGTCATGTAA